TCTAAAGAATAATTATTGTTGGGACCCCTGGTGCACGGCCCCCCTGCGCCGCCTAGGCCGCAGCTACATTTTCATCATTTTCGTGAGGAAGCCTCAGGTAATTCGATGTGATCAAGATCCGGTTGTTTTGTTCCCCCCCGCTTTCCCTTGCAAAAAACACTATAAAATGACATTTCTTGTTCTAATATAATCAAATTTCAAGAATCCCTTGCAAAAAATAAGGTAAAGTGGACATTCGCGCGCGCAAGACGAAATCCTTCCAAAAGCTTAGTGTTCGGAGCGATTTTAACATAAAAACATCAAAAAACCAATGGTTTTTCAACAAAAAAATGTCAAAATCTCATCCCGCGCGCTCTTGCGGATTCGTAGGAAACCCAACACTTTTTAAACATTTCTGTCAAACGGGCTTTTGCGAGCAACTTTTTCGAACTTCTGCGACAACGGTTGCGCACCTGCCAGGGCCATCATCCCTGTCAAATAATACCATGCGGGACACATTCGTTTTTTCTTCGCGCGCGCACGCCGAAATCTCCAAAAACCATTGGGCTTCTTAAAGATGTTCTGTGGAAGGCTTAACAACTTCTGTGGGTTAACAAGGCTTAACAACTTCTGTGGGTGTACGAACGTAGGCTTAACAACTTCTGTGGGTGTGTACTCCACGCCAGTGTAGTAGCCACGGTCGTCCGCAGGCCACGAAGTGAAGTGTCCGAACGTCATAGGGCGGGAAGCTGGGTGTGGGTGGTGGCGAAGAGTCGTGTGGATATTTGGTAGAGCTTGCACTGCCCCCCCACAAAGTGGGGGTATTGGCTGGCGTCGCATGAAAACCCTGGCACTGGTGAGAACACTGAGCGTTCGGGTAAAGTGATTGTTGTTGTTGTTGTTGTTGTTGTTGTTGTTGTTGTTGTTGTTGTTGTTGTTGTTCTTGTTGTTGTTGTTGTTGTTGTTGGTGGTGGTGGTGGTGTTGTTGTTGTTGTTGTTGTTGTTGCTGTTGTGGAGCTCTCACTATTGAAGAATAAGTATTGTTGATCCCCCCCTCCGGTGACCGTAGTGTTTTTTCAATTGAAGTGCTTCCCCCGGGGCTCGCGCTCAGTTTTTCATCAGGGGAAGTCCCCTGGCCCCTGGGTTACAACAACAACGGCTCCCGCCTGAGACTTTCTAACAATTTGGCCAGGACCCCCCGCTCCCGCCTGAGATTTCCTCGCATTTTACTACGGAATCGCGCTTTCGCTTCGGATTTCCGTGCGATGTATTCAGGAATTGCTCCCTTGGCGCTCTGGAGTCGCGCTCTCGCTGGAGCTTTGCTTGCAATTTACGCAAGAATCGCGCCCTTGCGTTGGAATGCCCCGCAATTTACTCAAGCGCCGCGCTCTCGACACTCAGGCACCCAAGAGTCGCGCTCACGCTTAGGACTCCCTCACAGCTTACTTAGGAATCGGGATCTCGCTGCCCTTCGTGGCCCCGTTGCAGCCCTTCGTGGCCCTCTCGCTGCCCTTCGTGGACCTGTTGCAGCCCTTCGTGGCCCCCTCGCTGCCCTTCGTGGCCCCGTTGCAGCCCTTCGTGGCCCTCTCGCTGCCCTTCGTGGACCCGTTGCAGCCCTTCGTGGCCCCCTCGCTGCCCTTCGTGGCCCCGTTGCAGCCCTTCGTGGCCCCATCGCTGCCCTTCGCGGCCCCAGATATGTATGCCCTTCGTGGCCCCCGCTCGTTCGCGCCCGTCGTGGCCCCATATGCATGCGCTTCGTGGCCCCGCTGTCGCCCTTTGTGGCCCCCTCGCTGCCCTCCGTGGCCCCGTTGCTGCCCTCAGTGGCCCCGTCGTTGCCCTTCTGTAGCCCAATATACGTATGCCCTTCGTGGCCCCCGCTCGTTCGCGCCCGTCGTGGCCCCATATGCATGCCCTTCGTGGCCCCGCTGTCGCCCTTTGTGGCCCTCTCGCTGTCCTACGTGGCCGCGTTGCTACCCTCAGTGGCCCCGTCGTTGCCTTCTGTGGCCCCGCATTGTTCGCGCGCCCTTCTTGGCCCCGCTGTCGCCCTTCGTGGTCCCCTTCCTGCCCTTCGCGGCCCCGCTGTCGCTCTCGCTCTCGCTCTCGCTTTCGCTCGTCGTTGTCGTCGTCGTCGCCGCCGTCGTCGTCGTCGTCGTCGTCGCCGTCGTCGTCGTCGTCGTCGTCGTCGTCGTCGTCGTCGTCGTGGTCGGTCCCCTGTCCGTCCCTCTTGGGGTCGGGTTGCCGCCGATCAGCGCTGCCGCCTGGCCAGGCCGACTGTCCGCGGCCGCCCCCCCGCTTGCTGGGGCCCGGCCTGCAGGGAAGAAAGATTTACCCCCCAAGAGGAGTACGACTGAAGACGAAGAGGGCGGGTATCGAGGGTCTGGGAAATACACGTGGGATGACATTCGAGCAGACAAGAGCGAACAGTCTCACCATGATTATTATTGTTATTATTGTTGTTGTTGTTGTGGTAAAGCGGGGACCAAGGGCCCAATCTGAGCCTCAATATGTTCCCTTGTAGAAGACAAGGTGCGAACCCCATGGGGGAAAATTGTAATTGAAAAACAGAGTGGTCGCCAGAGGATGGGGGATCAACAATAACTATTCCTTAGAAGTGAGAGTTCAACGGCTCTGGCCTGAGACTCCTCACAATTTCTTCACGTCTCTTGCTGTCGCTCGAGACTTCCTTGCAATTTCCTGAAGAGCTGCGTTCTCGCATGAAAATCGCGGTCTCCCCGAGGCCGCCGTGAGACTCTCCGAGTTTCCTAAGGCATAGCGCTCGGGCTTGAGATCCCCGGGCAGCTCGATTAGAGGTTGGGCTCTTGCGTGGGATCTCCCGACGATTTTCTCTGGCATGGTGTTCTCGCCATAGGAGTCGCGCTGTTAGATTCCTTCGCCGCCCACCCATTTTTGCGTCTCGCCCGCCCGACCTGCCCATTAGGGGCCTCTCTCCAGACCCGCCCTTCAGCGTTCGCCCGTTCGGAAGCCCACCCGCCCGCTTTAATGCCCCCCCCGCCTAGCCCACCAGTTCCGACCCGCCCGCCAGATCCGCCGTTCAGGGCCCGCCTGCCCGACTCGCCCGTTCGGGTCCACCCGCCCGGCCTGCTTGTTGCACTCAATCGGGGTTTACCCTTGTAAAACGATGGTTGAGCTCCCACTTCGGAAAAATAGCTCTTGGGGATCCCCGCCCCTAATTAGTTTATGTCAATCTAAATGCGCCCGCACAGCGCCAGGGAATGTCTCGTGGCTCAAATTGCGGTGTAAACCCGCACCCCCTGGCTACAACTATCGTTTTAGGAGGGCTCGTTTATATTTCCCCCGTGCATCTCATCAGGTATACCCCATGCCCTTGACTCCCACCCTCTTCGTCTAGGAACGTGCCCCTTTTGGGCGGACGGGCCCCCTAACGGGCGGGTCGGGAGGGCGGGCCCTAACGGGCAGGTCGGGAGGGCGGGCCCTAACGGGCAGGTCGGGTGCGCGGACCCTAACGGGTGGGTCGGGCAGGTGGGTTTCCATGCAAGCGAGGGCGGATTCTAACGGGGGTGAGGCCCCCAAAGGATCCCACCAGGCCCTCAACAGGTACAACTCGATATTATTATTTCGAGTGCTGGCATGATTTGTGCATGTGCGCCTCGGTCATCAGAGCGTCCAAGGGCTTCCACGAACGCGTTCAGATGAGCCCAAAAGAACCCCACAAGGTCTTCAATTGGCAAACATAGCTGGCATACCTCTTTTTCTTGTATCAGCTTGGCATACTCGCCTGGTCGTTCCTCAAAGTATTGCCACAGTTGTATGCTATTTTCCCGTGGTGGGCCCCGCAGTGACTCCTGTTCTGTGGGATCAAGAACCACAAGGCGCGACCCTGTCGAAGCAGCGAGGACCAAGTACTCCAAGTCCTGCCCGCCTGGTCCTCGTTGGCTCCGGCTTAGTAGTCGTCGTCGCACTGTAAGTTGCGCTACAGGTTGCACCATAGGTTCAGACGGTTGCGCTAAAGGTTGCGCCACATATTCAACCACTGGTTGCGCCGTACTTTGTACCATTGAATGCGTCATTGTTTGTGCCGTAAGATGCGGCATATATTGCGCCATTCATTGCGCAATAGTTTTGCGCCGTACACCATGGGTTGGGCCATAGGTTGCGACACTGGCTGTGCCATAGGTTGCGCAATAGTTTACGTCATAGAACGTACCATCGGTTGCGCTACATGTTGCGGTATTGGTTGCAGCGTCGTTTGCGCCATAGCTGGCTGCGCTCTGGCTTGCGCCTTTGGTCGTGCCATAGGTTGCGCCGTAGGATGAGCCATACATGCTGCCATTTTGCCATACGTTGTGCCATTGTTGTGCAACAGGTTTTGCCATAGATTGCACCATAGATGTACTATCGTCGTTGCCATACGTTGCGCTCCAGTTTACTGTTGCGCCTTTCGTAACGCAACAGGTTCGTAGCGCAACAGGTTGCATGATGGTCTGCGCCATGGGTTGCGCCATGGGTTGCGCCAGAGCCTGGCCTACACGTTGCACCATCGGTTGCAATATCGGTTGCGCAAGCGATTGCGCCATTGGTTGCATCATTGGATGCGCCACAGGTTACGCCGCTGGTTGCGCTGCAAGTTGCGAGAGGGGCTGCAGTAGCTTGCGCCGCCATGGGACTGCACCGGTTTGGCCGCCACAGGCTGCGCCACAGTTCGCACCATCGGGCGCCTTTCCCCTACCCCGCCAGCATCGGCACCACCTTCTAGCACAAGCCATCTTCAGCGCAGAGCCGCGCGGATCTCAAGGCTGGTCCCCAGGCAGCAGCTCCTGGAGGCGCCGAGAGGAGCCCCGCTGGATCCCCCCCCCCCTGCGCCCCCCCGCCTGGGGAAAACGTTAGGGGGGGGGTAGGCTCACGGGAGATGCATTGACCACCAATCGCCCACTGATCGCCAAAAGGAGCCAGACAGCCCGCCCCGCCGAGGACCGTGCGGTCTCGTTATCATCGCGGGCCTATCGCTGATCTATCGGCGATGCATCGCCGGTTCTAGGCCGATGTTTCCCCCCTCAGTTGGTCTGCCCCCCAGCGTTCTCCCTCACCCCCCCCCGACCCTGGCCTCCCCTGATTCCCGGCTTTGCCGCATGGGCTGCGGCGGCCAATTTCGACGAGTGAGGGCGCTCTTCGGGTCCTGCCCCTCGCCAGCCATCCTGTCAGGACTTGATCCTTGATCCTTCCCGTGACTCAAGAGGCTGACGCCGTCGGGTGAGGTCTTATGGGGTCTCTCGGGGACTATTTTGGCGCCTCTTTTGGGCCTCTCGGGGGCCCCTTGGGGCTTTTTGGGGGGTTCTTGGGCGCTTGCTGGACTGGATCCCCCCGACCCTTGATCCCTCCCTTGACTTCTGATGTTCCAACCTGTTTTAGCTTTGACCACCAGAAAGAAATTCTAGACGCTTCGCGTATCCCCACCAGCCCGTCCAGAAATGAGCCCCAGAGGAGTGGAGGTGATGAGGGAAGCGGGGGAGCATGCAGAAGAACAAAGAGCGGGTTAAGCCGCCATACGTTCCAAGAGGGGGAGGATGTAGGAGGAGTCGTCGTCGTCGGAGTAGGAGGAGGAAGACGAGGAGCAGGAGGAGGAGCAGGAGGAGGAGGGGGAGGAGGAAGAGGAGGAGGAGGAGGAGGAAGATGAGGAGGAGGAGATGGAGGAGGGCGAGGACGAGGAGGACGAGAAGGAGGAGGAGGAGGAGGAGAAGGAGGAGGAGTTCCAACCTGTTTTAGCTTTGACCACCAGAAAGAAATTCGAGCACCAAGAAAGTATCGAAACTGGAGGGTCTTCACGTGTCGGGCCCTGGGAGGCGAAACTCGTTCGACACCGTTTCGATAATTTTCTGTGTGCTCGAAATTATTTGTGGGATGTGGTCGTTAAATATGGTGGGAGCAATACTCCTCCTCCTCATTCTCCTCCAACCCTTGACCCCTGAACCCCCCAGCCCTGGCCTCCACCGACCCCGCCAGGCGGGCCGACGCTGCCGGTGCGCACGTCGCGCGCCGCGCGGGCGCTCTGGGTCCCGCCGCTCCCGCGCGGCGCTCGGGCGTTGCGCATCGGGGGGGCGACGAGTGGGGGGGTGAGGTGGAGGGTTTCTCCGAAGGGCGTAGCAACCCGTCCTCCTCCTCCTTCTCCTGCTCCTCCTCCTCCTCCTCCCTCCCTCCTCCCGCCTCCTCCCCCTTCCCTCCTCCTCCTCCTCCTCCTCCTCCTCCTCCCTCCACTTCCTCCTCCTCCTCCTCCTCCTCCTCCTCCTCCTCCTCCTCCTCGGGTCGCCTACGGCCCCAGAGGAAGCCGTGCAAGGTGAGGAAGGACGCACCTTTTCCCACCGCCAGATTATGTCCACATCCACCGCTTCGGAGTCGTGCCCTGATATCTCGAGGAGCGGTGGGTATGGATACTTGCCCGCCCGCGTGGGTGGGCAGATATCCACATCCACCACTCCCCGAGCCCTCGGGACACCGCTCATCGCCCCCCACGAAGCAGCGCCCAAGGCGCGCCGTCGCGGCGCGGCGCCGCCGGCGGCCTGTGGGGCGATGCCCTGCAGGAGCGGCCGGCGGGCGCGCGCCGCGGAGCGATCGGGGGTCGGCCGGCGCGGCGGCCTGCCGCTGAGGGCGGCCGGCGGGTCGGAGGGGCGGGCTTCCTACTGCTGCTGCTTCCCCTGCGTCTCCTAGTCCTTCTCGTCGTCCTCCTGCCTCCTCGTCTTCCTCGTCCTGCTCGTCTTCCTCGCCCTCCTGTTCCTCCTCGTCCTCGCTCGTTGTCCTCGTTCACCTTGTCCCCCTCGTCCTCCTCCATCCTCTCCATATCTTATCCCCTCCCGCCTCCCTCTTCCCTCCTCCACCTGGTCGCTACTAGGGGTTCAGGCAGGATTCGAGCGACACAGACACTGACACACTTACGCGCACATGCCTTCAGGTCTAGCCTTTGCTGCAGCTGATGGCCATCACGACCTCTGGGACATGTCTGCAGCTGAATCTCGACAAGCAACCATTTAAAAAGCATTACCCTGAGCCTGGCACCCTAATCCTGACACGCCGCCCCTCACACCCTTATCTTAACCCTGAGCACCCTAACCCTAACACCCTATACATCATTACAACACGCTTGCCCTCCAACCGAACTCTAACATCCAAACACCCTGGCCGCAACATGCTAGCACCCTAATCCTAAGCCTAACTCCCAATCGCACATCACCACAAGGTCGGACCGAATTCTAAGATCGAGGTCGGTCCGGGGAGGGTACCCTATTGTTCTTCGTGTTGGTTGGATTTTCTTGTGCATCCTGGGGAGGGTGTTCTTGGGTGTTCTGTGTGTTTTGGCCGGCGGAGAGTCTCATGTTCTTGAAGGATGTTATCATGTCCCAGGTTTGGCCGTAGCGAGAATCTGAACACCTCAAACCCTAACACCCAGTTTCGATTTGTCCAGTTTCGGCTCGTCCAGTTTCAATTCCCCTGGTTTCAATTCGTCGGGTCTTACTCCGCTGGTTTCAACTCGCCCAGTTTCAATCCACCCAGCTTCAATTCGACAGCTTTAGATTCGTCCAGTTGCAATTCTTCTGGTTTCAACTTCTGGTTTCAATTCACCCAGTTTCAATGCGCCCGTTTTCAATTCGCCCAGTTCTAATTCGCCTTGTTTCGACTCGTTTGGCCCGGAGTCGTGGCGTACATATTAAATGTGAGATGGCGCCGTACGAGCCAGGCGAACAGAGTTTGACCGTAAAGCGGACGAAACGGGACGGGCGAAACGAAAGCGGTCGAAGCGAAACGTGGATGAAGCGAAAGGTGGACGAAACAAAAACGAGCGAAACGAAACGCGGACGAAACGAAAGGCGGACGAAACGACAACGGACGAAATGAACACTTGCGAAACAAAAGTGGACGAAACGGACGTGGGCGAACCGAACATTGCTGAAACGAAAGGCGGGCGAAACGAAAAGGGCGAAATGAAAGGCGGACGAAGCGAGAGACCACCTTCCAGAAGACCGTCGACCAACCCGCAAGAACCTCGTCGAGCAACCCAGGAGAACCCTTTGTTCCTCCTCTTCCTCCAGTGTACCATTCTCGAGCTTTCTCGGGGGTCTCCCGGAGTTCTCTCCGCCCCAGCCTGGGGTCCGCCTGGGGCGACTTCTCCTGATGAGTGCACGCCCGAGAGGTAGGCTGTGGTTGCGTCTGGAGCGCACCGTTTCGAGAGCGAGGTATTCTTCGGCAGCCTGGAGCGAATCTTATGCCCACGGGTAGGCCAAGTGTATGTCCACGGGTAGCCAGTGAGAGAGGGAGAGAGAGAGAGAGTGTCACCGCCTACCAAACCACCTCAGCCCAACCCGAAGGCCCCGATTTGCCCTCCATTTTCAGTGTGGGGGGGTCGGGGAACACTGAAAAAACACATATGAAGCCCGTACCCCCCCAACCCGAAATTCGGGTCTTCGGGTTGGGTTGGGGTGGTCTGGTAGGTAGTGAGAGAGAGAGAGAGAGAGAGAGAGAGAGAGAGCGAGAGAGAGAGAGAGAAGGGTAAAAACCTAGTCAGTAGCAAAGCGTATCATATGCTCCTCCTCCTCCACTCCTCCTGTTATATTTCCCCCCCTTTATCGGGCCACCCGTGCACGCTGATCGTAGTCGCCACTGATGTTCACGCCGTGTGTTGCTGCCGTGGAGGAGGTGGAGTCCCATACCACCAGCTGTATTGCTTCCGTCGTACGGTGAGTGCGCACGTGTTGGCAAAAGCTGGGGGTGCCGCTCCGGGCTTAACAGAAGCCCCGACAAGGGCTCCCCCCTCTACCCCTCGACGCCCTCCCGACCCCCCCCCAGACAACCCCGCAGCCCCCCCGCTTCCCTCGGACCGAACGAAAGTGGGGGATAGGGAAAAGAGGGGTTGCGAAATCTGCTGCATGCAGCTGGTTTCGGCCCCGCCGCCGGGCCCCTTCCTCGATGCACAGGCGCCTCCCGGCGCCGGGAGGCGCTGGGAAAATCAGCTACGTGAGCTGATTCTCTATACCCTACCCTTTGCTACCCCCCCCTTTCGTTCCCCCCGCTTCCCCCCCGCGCGGTCTTCCCTGGCGCTCCTCGGTTCCTTCCTGGCCTCGCCCCGCTCTGTGCACACCCCCGCCCCGGGCCCTTCGGCGCCTCTCCCTGAGCCTCTCCCAGGCCTCCCTCAAGGGGCCCAAAGACACAATACACACAAATCCCAGGATTCCCCATATTTTTCCACATTATATCCGGATTTTCGTTTCCCCCCCCACTTCCCACAATTCCCCAGATTTTCCTGGGAGTCGACGATTCATTGTGTCTGTGTGTTTTTTCCCCTCCTGACTCCCTCGTGCCTCCCCGGCTCGGAGGGCCCTACGCGAGATTCCGCGTTGCGACTCCGCAGGACCGGCCCCGACTCGACCTCCTCAACGAGCGGGCGGGGCTGGGCGACGTTGGAGCGGCCGAGGCGATCTTCTTCAGCCTGAACAGGTCCGACGACAGGAGCAGCATCATGACCATGCTGTGCAACACGGTGCTCAAGTCGTACGCCAACGCGGGCGAGCTCGACAGGTCTGCGGCGTGGTACTCCCGGATGCGGGCGTGCTCAGTGCGCGTCAACGTGAAGACCTTTGGCAAGCTGATTGCGGCGGCCGCGAAGGCGCAGGATGCCGACGCGAGCCGCAGCTGGTTTGAGACCATGGCGGGCCACTTCGTCCCGAACGTCGTCGTGATGAGCACGGTGATCAACGCCTGCGCGCAGGAAGGGCTGCACGAGGAGGCGGCAAGGTGGCTGCGCGACATGGAGGGAAGGCGGCGGGTGACTTTGAAAGACGGGGCCCGCACGGAGGCCCAGGGCTCTTCGAGGGCAGAGCTGCTGGAGGGCACAGCTCCTGGGCGCCTCCCGGGAAGCTCCTCCAGGACTGAGGCCCCAGACCAGACCTCCGACTGCTCGATTGCTTCGACCGACCCTCTCGCCCCCTCCCTCGAGATAGTTTGGGGACGATTTTTGGGCCATTTTTGAAGATGTGAGAGAATTCTTTTGAGTATTTTTAATGTTTCCTCCAAGATCCCCCTGTAGGGGGACATGCCCTGCCTAAGTCTTGTTTTGACGGCCAGGGGACCTGCCCTGGGGTCCGAAGCGAGCCTTTGGCTCTTCAAGGTTGGAGAAGCAATCTGCCGTGCCGACTTCTCGAGACAAAGGGTCCACAGAAGGCGGCTGCGCGCCACCACCATCCCTAGCCAGGGCCATCGCGGGCCCCAGGATGGTGCATTGGGCCCTGACGGGACGTGTGGGAGTGTCGGGTGCTCTTCCTGTTCTTCTTCTTCTTCTTCTTCTTCTTCCTCTTCTTCTTCTTCTTCTTCCTCCTCCTCCTCCTCGTCCTCCTCTTCTCGGTTTTCACATCTCCTTTCTCTTAGGCAGACCGCTCAGCCTCCGAGCATCCCTCCCAGAAATATCCTGGCGTGCGTGTGACCAGGCTTTCGAGGGGAGTCCAGCCCGCGGCGACGAGAACCCCTTCCCAGAAGCCCAGAACGTCCAGAAGCCTGGATCCTCGAACCTCGAATCGGCATCACCCAGCACACACTGATGCTACGTGTGCGTCTGAACCCCAGGAGCGACGCGCGCGCTGAGAAATCTTACAGTGGAGACCCATGCCAAGAAACACCCTGCTTGCCTCCAGGGTGCCCTGGGTTTCTTGGGTTCGATGGTTTTGCGATGGAGAGCGTGACGCTCCCACACCCAAAATCAATGGACGTCCTGGGGTCTCGGGGCTGGGTTTCTCGTGGAAGGTTTCTTGTCATCGGGCCCCTACTGTATAGCATTTGCTCGGCCCCGGGCACTTTCTGGCCGTACCGCCTGGGCACCGATGCACTACAGGCGGCCCGGATTAGTAGGTCGACCCTGACAGATCAAGGGTACCCTCGTGTCCTGCTGTGTCTCGCGACCCATGCTTCCTACATTCCTGTGGCAACGTGGCCCGTGGAAGGGTCTCGTGTCCTCTCGCGTGTCCTGTCCAATCGAGTCCGACTGTACAGCATGCTTGCACTGCAGCTTCGGTTCGGAAGTGCGCCTCCCAAGGGGGGCGCAGAGACGCAGCACAGCCAACCCGCACAGCAGGGAGGAGCGACTTTCCAGGGTCACCCCTGCGTCCGTCCCCTTCCGGGGCCCATTTCGATGCCTCCGATTCGATTCGATCCGATTTCGATGACCTCCGATTCCATTTCGATTCGACTTCGGATTCCGATTTGAGATCCGATTTCTCAATGGAGACTTACTAGCCTGCCGATTTCCGCCGATCCGACTTCTCCCGACTCGGCTGCCGATTTCCGCCGACCCGATTCACTTCGATCGCCTATCCGACTTATCGATTCGATTCTGGGCTCTCCTGCCCTTCGGCCCATCCGTGGCCGCTTTCGCTGGCCGCACCCCGCTTGCAAGGTGTCGGCATGGTCTGCCAAAGCCCTTGCATCCTCATCGTGCATCCTCACTACACGGGTTGGCTGCATAACCTCATGCCCGTGAGAATAAACACTAGGGGATAATAAAGTTCGGGGTTCAGGGAGAGATAATAAAAGTAGCCCAGCAGACCTCAGCATAATCTCGAAGTAAGAGATGATCAAGAGGAGACCAAGCCGAGCACGTTTTGAGACATCCTTGGCGTTTAGTTTTCATAGAAATATCCTCAACAATGGCTTATCTCTCATGAAAATTGTTTTTTGTAAGTGCTCGTGTAGGGTAGCTCATGTGCCTCAATTCCCATGGATAATCAACCCCAGAGATAAAAAAGTGGGGACAGAGATAAATATAAAAGAAGAAGAATACAGTATAATAATACTAAGAAAGAAGAAGAAGAGGATAATAAGAAGAGGACGAAGAAAGGAACAATCCAAAGTTCCAAATCTATCAATTTTAATTTACACACGCTTTATGAAAATTGATTTTTTTAAGTGCTCGTGTAGGGTAGCTCATGTGCTTCATTTTCCATGGATAATCAACCCCAGGGATAAAAAAGTTCAGGCGAGCGTGAGGACAGATAGAAATATAAAAGAAGAAGAGGAAAGTATAATAATAATAAGAACATTGCTCGTTTCGTTTGAGTCTGCCTCCCAAAATTATTGGTTTCGCTTGACACATCCTGAAAAAGTGTGATCGCTTCGCTTGATGTTGCTATATCAACATCGCTTGATGTTGCTATCTCAACATAGCGTTTCGAGGTGATAATGAAGTTCGGCCTCCGCGCTCGCCGCCCAATTTGAATTTTGTATAGGGCGACGATAATCAACTCTAAACACTGAAGGGGGGGGTCCCTTTATTATCATCGGCATGCGGTTATCCTTCTGCGTCCCATCGAACCCCGACGGCCGCGGAGGGCCGCGGAGGGCCGCCGATGGCCGTCGAAGGCCGGCGGCGGCCGCCGAGGGCCCGCGCGCCCGCGGAGGGCGCTGCGGCCGGACGAGTTCTCCTACAGCTGCGCCATCGGCGCCTGCGCCCGGGCCTCGCAGGCGGGCGCCGCGGAGGGGTGGCTCGCGGAGATGGGGGCCCGGGCGCTGAGGCCCCGGGTGAGGGGCGCTGCAGGAAGAGCGGGGGGTCAAGGGATCGAGGAGGGGGGGAGGGGAGGGGGGGAGGGAGGAGGAGGAGGAGGGAGAGAGGAGGAGGAGGAGGAGGAGGAGGAGGAGGAGGAGGAGGAGGAGGAGGAGGAGGAGGAGGAGGAGGAGGAGGAGGAGGAGGAGGGAGGAGGAGGAGGAGGAGGAGGAGGAGGAGGAGGAGGAGGAGGGAGGAGGAGGAGGAGGAGGGAGGAGGAGAGGAGGGAGGAGGAGGAGGGAGGAGGAGGAGGAGGGGAGGGGGAGGAGGAGGGGGAGGAGGAGGAGGAGGAGGAGGAGGAGGAGGAGGAGGAGGAGGAGGAAAAGGAGGAGGAGGAGGAGGAGGAGGAGGAGGAGGAGGAGGAGGAGGAGGAGGAGGCGACAACCCCTCGGGCCGGGTACTCAGCGTGGTGCTCTGCCCCTGGCACACCGCGGTCCGTTCGGTGCCCAGGACGCGCGCGTGGTCCTACGTGGACGACCCGTCCCTCAAGGCCGCCCCGGCGGTTGATCGAAACCGGGCCTTAGCGATCACCGCGGAGATCGACCGACGGCTCGGTTTTTCGGAAAACATTAGGAATTGGCAGGTTTGGTCGGGCACCCATAGCGCCGAATACTTAGGAGTGCGGGCCGCTGCCGGTGACGCCGCGCCTGGCCCCAGCTGCTTCGGGACGGATGGGACCAGATCCGTTCCCAGGTGCGCCGGCTCCGCACGGTCCCCGGCGGGCAGCGGATCAGGGAGCTCGCGGCCCTGATGTGTATCGCTTCGAAACATCGGTGGTCGGCTCTGTTCTGCGCGATCCCGCAATGTGACCAGATCGCGCTCACGCTTGGGTCCGTTTGTTTTGCAGCCTCGCTGCGCCTGGTGGTGCGCTCGGCGATGGTACGCCGAACGGGTTTCGTTGCACCCGGTCTTCGGCACGGCGGGCGCGGTGCTGCAGGCGGCTCGGGGGGTTCGGCGTCGCGGTTGTTGTCGGTGGCGCTCTCGGAGCTTTCCGGGGTGTACGGGCCGCTCCCAGTTTCGACCAGGTCGACCCCCCGAAGGCGTCTGACTGCTGTCGGCCCCGAGGCTCGATCCCTGGGCGGCGGCGGTCGCCGCTGCTGCCGCCGCTGACAGCCGCGAAGCGAGACCCGGCGCCCAGGGGCCTCCCCCCGCCCCCCCGGAGGGCTTTCGACGCTTCATCCGATCGCGGTCAGCACGTCTTCGGGAGTGCGCCCGGGCGGCGCTCCTTCGTCTCCAGGCGGCGCCTGGCCCCCGCCGCCGCACGACGAATACGGGATCGGCGAGAGATCGATTTGGCTGCCCGGAGCGCGCCGCCGTGGGCCCAGTTCCGGCGATCGCTGGGCCGATGCGACGCGACCCTCCTCGCCGTCTGGAAGGGCGGGGCCGTGTGCCGTGTGCGCGTCGACCCGCAGGCATGGCGGAGTGTGCGTTTGCCCGTTCGGATGCGGGCGCGCCCAGGCTTCGGCTCGGTGCTTCCTGGGCCGAGTGCCTGCGTTTTGCTGGGCGTCGGCTCGAACTCGGGGCGGGAGAGGCTGCGGGTCGCGCTGGCCTGGTGGGGGGCCCAGCCCCGCGTCGCAGCGAAGACGGGGTGGGTCACTCAGGCTGCTGGAGGCTCGGTTCAGCGACGTTTTCAGCTGCGGGTGATGGCGTGCCGCCTGGGCACTACCATCAAACATACGCTCGCTGGCCTCGGTGGGTGGGCCTTCGGGGACGCGGCACCCCCGCCTGCAGCTCACCAGGGTCCCTCCCCCTTCCCTCCCCGCACCTTCTGGCGGGCGGCGGCGAGGCGGCCGGCGGGACGGGCTGCGACGATTCTGACGACCTCCCTCCTCGTCCTGGCGGTGGTGGCTGTGGCGCGGGTTGCTAAGGTCCGATCGAATTCACCTGGTGTCCAGTCCTGTTCGCCGGCCCTTTCCGACGCCTCGTGGCGTCCCCTTCCGCTTAGCGCCCCAGCCATTCTGGCCTGGGGGCGTAGCTGGGTTTCGCAGGCGCTCCGCGCTTCTTTTTCGAGCAGCCAGGGCAAAGGCGCCCCGCTGCGTTTCATCCTTCAGGACGAGGGGGATGATGATGATGATGAGGAGGAACAGACGGATGATGAGGATGATGATGAGGAGGATGATGGGGATGAGGATGAAGATGACGACGACGGTGCAGCTGATGGTGGTGATGATGGCGATGATGCTGCTGATGTTGATGATGGCGATGGGGGGAGGGGGGAGGGGAAGGGGGAGGATGAGGAGGAGTAAGAGGATGATAGGAAGGAGGGGGGGATGAGGATGAGGATGAGGACGACGATGCTTATGCTGATGCTGATGCTGGTGCTAATGCTGATGATAGCTGTGGTGGTGATGATTGCGATGATGGTTGTGGTGCTGCTGCTGCTGACGTCGATGAGAGGATGCTGATGATGTTGACTGTGTTGATGATGATGGTGGTGGTGTTGGCGCTGAAGATGATGATGATGATGATGATGATGACGATGATGATGTTTGTCATGATGACGATGACGATGACGATGATGATGATGATGACGATGATGATGATGATGATAGTGGTGGCTGTGATTACGATGGGAAGGGCGACGGTGGTGATGATGAACGGGCGATGTTGAGGAAGAGAGTGTTGACGAGGGTGATGAGTGTGATGAACACAATGGTGATGAGGTCGGGGACGGTGCTGATGATGATGATGATGATGATGATGACAATGGTGCTGATCATGATGATGGTGATGCTGATGAGGATGATGTCGTAGATGGTGAAGTTTTATGATTATGATGATGATCATGTTTCTGCTGAGGTTGATTAGTTTGATGATGACGATGACCGTGCAGATGCTGATGTGGATGCTGCTGCTGATCACGATGGTGACGATGACGATCACGATGACGTTGACGATGACGATGACGATGGTTATACTGATGCTGGTGATGGTGATGATGTGGTTGTTGCTGATGATTATGACGATGATACTACTTATCCGTAAAGACTTCGCCCCTTGTCGCGAGCCTCCTTTCTGTCATACTGAATCCGTCATATTCGCGTCGGTGCGTCTCGGCGCTGCCTTGGCGCACCTCAAAACATCATGCGGGGGCGGATCGGAATCATCAACGCATATTGAGGCGTTGGCATTATCGAAGACGCCTACGGCGAATCACCGCCGCCCCCTGCCTTTTTGGAAGCGCCTATGTGGCCGAACGTTGAGGCCAGACCTGCCAAGCTATCGGACCACGTGTTCCCCGAATCGGTTTGGAAAGCCTTCGGGGAACACGTGGGCATCTTGAAGGTCATCTTGGCCGTCTTGGAGGCCTCTTGGGCAAGCTTTGGGCGATCTTTGGGGCTTTTTGGGCCGTCTCGGGCCAGCTTCGAGCCAACTTCGGCCATCTTGGTGGGTTCCTGGCACGTCTGAAGCCGTCGGAAGCCGTTTGGGGGGCCTCTATGGGCCGACTTGGGGCCCGCTTGGAATGCTCCAGGGCCGTCTTGGAGGCCATCTTGGGCGTCTGGGAGGCCATCTTGGGCGTGTTGGAGGCCTCTTGGGCCCTCTTGGGGCCCTCTAGGGGCCATCTTGGAGGCCACTTGGGCCATCATGGGGCTCTCTTGGGGGCCTCTTGGGCGATCTTGGGGGCTTCTTGGGCCGTCTTGAGCCGTCGGAGAGCCGAAAAGGCGCAAATGCCAAAATCCTTCAAAAACCAAGGAAAATCAATGATTTTGGCCTCTTCGGACTCTCCTGGAGGACCTCTTGGAGGCCTCTTGGGCCGTCTGGGAGGCCTCTGGGGGGCCTCTTGGGCCGTCTTGGGCCGTCTTGGACTCTCTTGGGCCGTTTTGGAGGCCGTCTTGGACCATCTCGGGCGGACTTGGAGGCCATCTTGGGCCATCTTCGCGATTTTTTGAGGATGTCCCGAGCGAAACGGCCGTTTTTGGGCATTGACAGACGCATTTTGGGAAATGCGCGGGTGGCCGGCGGGACGGGCCGAAGCCCACTGGGGAGTTCTTTTAGAAAAAGAACCAAAACCAATACTGAATCATCCAGCACGCCGTGCACCCCTGCAAGCAGGGGGCGGCGGATCCAAGTGGCCTTCGGCCCATTCCGCCACCGTGCTTGGGTTGTGTTGTGTATGTCTTGGGGTGTCGTTCGGGGCCTCGGACGCCTTTTGGAGGTGGTTTGGGGGCTTCTCGGGGGCCTCCTGGGGCCTAGTGGGGTTATGTTTCGGGCCTCTTGGAGGCCTTTCGGGCGCGTCTTGGGCGCCTCTTGGGGCCTCTTGGCGCTTCTTCGCGGCCTCTTGGGGCCTCTTGGGGGTTTCTCGGGGCACAACTATCGAATGTTCGGTTCGTGGTCTCCTGCTTGGGCCCCTCTTGGGGCCGTCTTGGGGCCCTCTTAGGCCGTCTTGAGCGTTTCTTGGACCATTTTGGCTCTTGGGGGCGTCTTGGGCTGTCTTGGGGCGGTCTTGGTAGCTGTTTGAACCGTCTTGGAGCGTCGGAAAGCAGAAACTTCGAGAAGGCGAACATTCGTCAACAACCTTCGTACAATCTAAGTTTTTCCCAGAAAGGGCTCCCGCCCAGGGTTTTCTGTTAGTGTGTTTACCCCTGGTTTTGACTTGAAGGAGGTCGGCGGATTTCAGCTAGATAAAAAAACGAGGTAAAGTCCAATTCGGCGTGAAACAAATGCGTTTCGCGCGTGCCCGCTCGAGGAAAGTCGACCTCACACCTCGGATCCTCGATAAATAACGGGGTCCGCGGACCACCATTTTCCTTCGTGAAAAAGAGGGTGCGGGCCATTTTTAGCAGAATCCGAGAAGAAAACAACAAAAAAAACGAGGTCTGAAGCCCCGACCGCGACGCGGAAAAGCGTCCCGCGCGCAGGAATTCCAAGGAAGTCTCGCGCGTGCCGCGTCCCGCGCGCCGGAATTTCGAGGATGTCTCGTTTAATTCTTTGGTTTTTCCAGGATTGCCTCGGCCACGCAGGGAGGTATCT